TCACAGCTAGATGAAAGAAAGTTCGTTTGGGTGAGACGTATTAGAAACTTTCGGGTAACTTGTTGAGTTTTACGAGTTTCGGGTCCGGTTGTTGCTTTTTGACACGTGCGCAAGTCTTATTTGCCTTCATTCGGCATATTGTGTACAAATTAGATACTGACATAATTTGGTGATTTACCCCGTTCCCCAGCTCCACTACCCCTTCCAACCCTCGCTACAACACCTCTTTCAAAACATTCAAGCCTCATAATTTCGGAGGTCACGGCTTTTTCTTTAATAAAGAGAATCTTTCGGTGAAGAAAGTATCTTTGGTAAGAGGAAAGTATGGTACGCAATACATGCCATTTTTTAAAAGGTAATAGGAACCAACTGTTATAATAAAATGTTTCCTGCAATCCTGCTTACAATCTGTTCTGGACTCACGGATATAAATAAACTGCCTTTCGCTATTGCTGAAAATGTTTTCTCATCGGACCACGCCCCTACACCTCACCCCCTCACCTACTCACTTACTTGCTTTCTATTCTCACCCTTTTGTCTCTTTCTCTTTCTTCCTCGCCTGTTTATTTCTGAACATGATCTCAGTTGCTCACACACTCGTAAACTCTCTGACTCACTCTCTCGCTCACTCTTTCATTCTTTCATTCTCTCATTCTCACACTCGTTCTTTCATGTTTGTAACAAACTTTAGTGCGCGTCGAGCCTGTCTGTTTTGTCCACTCTTGTTATGTTAAAATCAAAATTATCTACTTTTTCAACACATTACTAGTCAACTTGTTGATACACACAGGATACCGAGACACCCCCCCCCCCTTTTCGTCCTCAGTATAACAATGGAAGAGATGTCAATTCTTTTTAAGCATTGCCATTGTATGAAACCGCAATACGACATATTGTGAGGATTTCTGTTGGTTTTTTAAAATATATATAATTGTTTACGTCGATTTCATCGTTAACATTAACAGAAATGAATTTGAAAAATAAACATACTATTGACATAATGATCAGCTCAGTTGTGCTTACATTCAAAGCTAATTCAGGTAATGTTGTTTTGTTTTCATTCTAAGCTAATTCCTGCAATGCATTGCTTGACTAAGCTTTGAATGGAATCATTTCCATCTGTAAGTTTTTCTTCTATTTCATTATTATCTTTGGCAAATAAGTTTAAATTATAGACATGTGCACATTTGTCATTATAATGAACAGTCCCCATATGTTTTCATTCAGAGATAATTTTGGCAATGTTGTTGTGTTTTCTTCATTCTATGCTGCATTACGGAAATAAACTTTGAATAGAAACACGCCAGAGGTGTTAAAAACATTTTTTTTTAGTAATGAACTTTTATTCTTTAATCTAAAACACAAAACTTTTGTCTCAGCTGGTATTGCGTCGATGACTTGTAGTAATATATATCCCAGTGGTTGGGCCACCTTGATGAAATGGTGTTTGTGGGAGTAACTTTCTATGGAAACACAGCAAGGCCATTTTTTGTCAGAATGCAATAACTACCCCCTTTCCCTCATGTCATCCGACTGGTGTTTGTGGTATAACGGTTAAGTTCTTCGTCATTGTACTCAGATGACGTCAGGTCAGTGAACAAGTGGGGGAATTTTTTAACATTATCTCCATCTGTCCAGTGGAGTTTTGTATCCCTCCCGACCGTTGCAGGCCCTATCTAGCTGGCTTGAATAGCCAAACCCCGTAAATGATCTAAATTGTGTTGATTCCCAATTACAAATATGTCAGCCTTATTGACGCGTTAGAAACCTCGATAATCGGACCATCGACAAGGTGTTTATGTATATTATGGAAACACATCAACGTCATAATTGATCACAATGTAATAATATTATCATGTTACTTTGATGTCATCCCCAGGAATAACTCATAAGCGTGGGTGACGTATAGCACTGTGAACCCTAGGGGTCAGGCCATCCAGACATCATGGACGGGAAAACAGAGGCGAACAACCACCTGGAGCAGTTCAGTAAGGCTATGAACATGTTCCGGGATCGTGCCATACAGGTGAGAGAGAGAGAGAGA